AATATTCTTTGCTTGTATTCTAATTTTTCAGTGGGTTTTCTTTTGTTTCTACAAAGCTGGGCAGAATCTGTAAAAAAAAATCATTATTTTCCTTCTTTTGCCATGAAGAGGCTGTGAGTGGGAGCCCCTTGGTGGGTTTTATCAATCAGAATAGAGCCACTGGTTGATTGTCCTCAGTGTTAGGAAGTTTCTCCTAATTTCCAGATTGCTTTTCTCTTTCATTAGTTTCCATCCCTTGTTTCTTTTCCTGCCTTCAAGTGCTTTGAAAAACAGGTGGATGCCCTCTTCTTTGTGGCAGCCCCCCAATATTGGAATATTGTTATCATGTCACGTACACACGCACACACACACACCCCTGGTCCATCTTTACTCTAGACTGGCCATAAACAATTCCTGCAACTGTCCTTCACATGTTTTTGTCTCCAGGCCTTTAATCATTTTAGTTCCTGTCCTTTGCCCTTTTTGCAGGGTCTCAGTATCTGTTTTGTAATGTGGTGACTAAACCTGGATGCAGTATTCCAGCTGTGGTCTTACTAATTTACTTGCTCTTTATAAAGCTATACTAATCCTTCGTGATTTTGATTCTACGAGTCTATTTATACAACCAAGGATTGTGTTAGCTTTTTTGGATGCTTTTGCACACTGATGGTTCATGTTTACCTGATTCTCTCTTGACTGCAAGGTCCCTCTCACAGTTAACTGTTTTTGAGCCAGGTTTCCCCTAATCTGTATTTGCACCTTTGGTTTTTCCTGCCTATGTGTAAAACCTTGCTTTTTTCCACACTAAATTTCATGTCGTTGGATAGGGCCCATTGTTGTTGTTTTATATAACAAATTTTATTAGTTGTCCACATATTTAGAAAACAACATGGTGACCAGGTAATCAATAGTTCGGTAACAGCATTTTTAGTACATGTCTGAGGTTACATTGTCAAAAATTCCTTCTCTATTTCCTGTTAACATTTGACATAACATAATTAAACTAGTAAGTTCCTAATCATAGCAAGCTTAATTAAAACATTTGTCAATCTATTTTTTGTTTATATATGTCCATATCCTGTTTTTAAATTTTACCTAATTCTCAATTTCTAAGTACAATATTCCAATTTTAACCTTTAACATCCATAATATTCATATTTCTGGTAACCCAAATTTCCTTTATTTCACTACACAAAAGTTATAGTATCTGAAATACACATATTACTTACTTAGATATATTCTTATTTTATTTCATAAACATTTTCTAATTCTCATCCTAGTACATCACAGCTTACTAATAGAGTAACCTTTATTATCTCAAATCCATCATCTATATTTTCTGGGCTAAGGGATAATTCAAAGCTAATTCCCAATTTTTAATTTTCATTTCCCTTATAAATCCAAACCCTAATTATTACACCAAATGATCCATTATTATTATTCTTATTGTTATTGATCATTTTGCAACAACATTTGATTCTGATAGTCATGTTTCCCTTCATCTCCAACTCTCTCTTTAGCCCATTAGTTGAGACATTAGAATCTCTCTTAGTATGTCAGAAGGATCCATTTTTTAAACCTAACTCTAGCTTTCTTTTTCTGCCAACCAGTTCCCGTGAAAGTAGGAACTTTTTGGGTCGCTAGCTCTGAGAAATATGTAAGTCCAATTACTTAATTATATTTTTCAGGGTTTTATCTCCCCAGTGTAGACAGCCACCGCCATTTTGGAGGGTGGGAAAAAGATGTTTGCTTCCCTCTCTCTTCACAGGAAGCAGGAAGCAATTTCAAGGGGCCTTTGCAGGAAAAGATCTGGGGTACAAAGAAGGCAGATCTCACCCAATTCCTCCATGGTGCTTTCAAGAGCTTAGTTGTAAGTTTTGCCTCGGCTAGAAACTGCATTAATGATGGGCCATGTGAGTGGCTGATCTTTTCTCCGTCAGTCCGAAGAGCTGCTCCGGACCAAAGGGAAGGGCTGCTGCCCTTCTGTGATCAATCCGAAGGTCCTCTTCCCTGTTCGTCGCCCCTCCAAGGCGATTTTCAACCTCATTCAGGATCCCCGGCGAGAGAACACTGGACGGCGGGGGAGCAATCACCCACACGTCCGCCAGTGCCGCAATCTGGAACCAGAAGCCGGATCGGGCCCATTGTTCAAGACCGTCAATATCTTTTTTCATCCACAGCTTGTCTTCTGGGATGTTGGCTATCTCTTAGTGTCATCTGCAAATTTGATGACTTCCCCTTTTATTTCCTCATCTAAGTCACGTATGCAGATTTTGAAGACTACTGGGCCTAAAACACAAGCTTGTACCCCACTGTTTGTCAGCTAGTTACAAATCCATCTGGTGGTGATGCTGTCTATCCCACATTTGTCTAGCTTACCAAGATGTAGGTTGTCGAATGTCTTGCTGAAATCTAAGTATACTATGCCTACAGCATTTTGCTGCTCTACTAATTTAGTCACAATGTCAAAGAATGTGGCAGTCCCTTGGTGGGTTTTATCAATCCGAATAGAGCAGGGAGGGACTTTGGAGGTCTGGTAGTCCAACCCCTTCCTCAAGCAGGAGACCCCATACCAGGGTCTTTCAACCTTTCCACAGGATATGGCAATATTTGACTACCACCAATCGCCTAGCAAGGTGTCAAAAACTTGATGACCAAAAAAAAAAAGGAAATTGATAAAAAACTCGATTTACAACAGAAGGAGAGAAGGCGATAGAATAGTGCAAAGATTAATGTCATAGAAACAGGCACAAGTTTCCCATTAAAAGTGTGGTAAGTGGATGCACAGATAGTCATCAACCTACAACCAGAATTGAGCCCAAAATTCATATTGCTAAATGAGAAATTTGTTAAATGAGTTTTGTCCCATTTTATGCCAGCTGCTGAATTACCAGCGGTTATGGTAGGCATGCCACTGGTTGAAAAGCCCTGCTTTATTTGTCTTGGGTACATTTCTTATATCTCCTCCTTTGTAACTCTGATATATGTCCTCATATTCTCCCTAAGCAGAAAAGATCTAATCTAATCTAAATAGAGAAGAACGAGTGTCCTGGATTTTATTCCAATGCTTTGATTTTCTTTGGTTCCTACCAAGCTGGGTAGAATCTCTAAAAACTGTTATTTCCCTGGTTTTACCTCGGAAGAGGCTGTGATGCGGCAACTGCTTCTTGGTGGCTGATTTAGGAAGGAAACTAGCAAATGGCAGAAGAAGCTTGGGAGAGAAATGGAGGGGAAAAGAAGGAAAAAATGAACAGAGATGCAGATGAGAAAACGGGAAAGAGTGAATGGAGTGGAAAAGGAAGAGGAAGGGATTCAGGATGGATGTTGGACTTGAGCAAGACCTCAAATTGCAGAATTCAGTGACACCAAAGGGGAAAATGGTGAAATATGAGAGGAGAAAAACTTGTTAATACCGTACTATAATTTTATTAAACTGTAAAGGCCGCGAGATAAAATTTGAGTTTCACCCCATCACATTCTCCCAAACTGTGGATCAGTTTTCAGACCAGAAATTACACACCCCTAAAACAAAGTATTGCTAGTTTAACCATGGTTTCTGGTGCTGCTGCCCTTGGTGAAGTGATTCCAGTGGTTGGGTGGATGCAACACACGAAGCCGAAAGAAACTAGCTGACGTTGGAGCCCAAAGTCTTATCTTGGACATGTAGGACCACCAGGTGGACGTTTTGCCTCCCTTTGGGGAAGTGGGGGTCTTAACACCCACCATGAGGTATTGCTGACCCCGATGAATATATTTACACCCTCCCTAAACTATACAGGAATAATAGAAAGCCATTTTAGGAGGACCCCATGTTCAGCCTGTGGTGGCCAAAAAGCAATGTCCATGAATAACTACATAGGTTGTTCTCTGCATTAGAACTACCTGACATATACAAAGTCTATGGGGTGGGGGTCTTTGCCGTGTTTTCTCACATCATAGAGCATCACACACGCACAACTGAGAAAAAGTAAAAGGCAGGGATCATTAACAATTTAGGTAGGTAAATGGCGAGGAACAGGGAAAGCAGTGATAGCGCAGTGGTTAGAATGCAATATTGCAGGCTAATTCTGCTGACTGCCAGCAGTTCGATTCTCACCGGCTCAAGATTGACTCAGACTTCCATCCTTCCAAGATCTGTAAAATGAGGACCCAGATTGTTGGGGGGTAATATGCTGACTCTAAACTGCTTAGAGAGGGCCGTAAAGCACTGTGAAGCGGTATCTGTGTCTTAAGTGCTATTGCTATTCTGTCAGCCATCATGAATCTTTCTCTCTTTTTCCTTCATCCAGCACGGGACACCGGGAAAAGTGGACAAAGTTCCAGTTGTGACATTTTCTGCGCTTAGAAAGCCCTGCAACTGAGAAGGCGCCGGAAATTATGCTGGGTGGACAAATACTTCAATAGAAGATCCCCTCAGAGGAACCAGGAGAGACTCTTCAAGTGCTCTGAGTTTGGGATATCCTTTGCTCACAAATCCCTCCTTTTGATTAACTGGAGGCTGGACATGAGGAATGGATCCCATCTGTGTTTGAAGTGTGCGAAGTCGTTTCGTGGTTGTGAAGCTTTGCCAAGCATCTCCGGAGCCACCCCAGACTGAAGCCCTACAAATGTGGAGAGTGTGGGAAGCTTTTTGCTAAAGGCTGGGACCTCAGAGCTCCTTAGCGTATCCACCAGGGAAAGAGACCTCAGGAAGGCCTCAGTGTTTTTCCAGGCCTCAGAATATCCCAACTGAAGAGAAACCCTGCAATTGTGTGCAATGTGGGCTTTGCTTTCCTCAAATCTCAGAGATGCTTAAACATCAACAAATCCACACTGGACAAAAACCTTATCAATGTCTTTTGTTCGACAAACAAGTCCCAAAATCCACGGGAAAATTCACATGGAAATAAAAACATATAAATGCTTAGACTGTGGAGAATGTTTTACTCAGAGTTCATCACTTTGCAAACATACTAAAACACACAAACAAGAGGAAAGCAGAACATGCCTAGAATGTAGGAAATATTTTTCCAGCAAATCAGCCCTGCGGCGACATCAGACAGTCCACACTGGAGAAAAACCTTATCAATGTCTGGAGTGTGGGAAATGTTTTTCCATCAAACCAGCCCTGCAGCAACACCAGAGAATCCACACTGGGGAAAGACCCCATGAATGCCCTGAATGTGAGAAACGATTTGGAAGGTCTTCCACACTTCGGAGTCACCAAAAGATACACACGAGAGAAAAACTCTATAAATGTAACGATTGTGAGAAATGTTTTGCTCTAAAGAGAAATCTTTTTCGACATCAGATAATGCACACAGGGGAGAAACCCTATCAGTGCATTGAGTGTGGAAAATTTTTTCGAACGATGTCAAGCCTCGGACATCATAAGAAAATTCACAGAGGAGAAAAAAAATTCAAATGTTTAGACTGTGGGGAAGCATTTATTCATTCAAATCAACTTAGACGTCACTGGCAAGTCCATATAGGAGAGAAGCCCCATAAATGCTCGGAGTGTGATAAATGTTTTTATGAGGAAAATAGACTTTTGATACATCAGAGAACCCACAGTGGAGAGAAACCATATAAATGTCCGGGGTGTGGGAAGTCTTTTTCTTGCCAAGAATATCTTAAAAAACACGAGACGATTCATACAGAAAAGAAGCCTTACAAGCCTGTGCAGAAAAATGAAATGTGCTCAGAATGTGGGAGATGTTTCTCCCAAAGGTCATACCTAATTCGACACAAGAGACGTCACACCGGAGACAGGCCCTATCAATGCCCAGAATGCGATAAGCGATTTGTGGAGTCTGCTGAACTCCGGAGACACCAGAGGGGGCACACAGGAGAGAAGCCCTATAAATGTGGGGAGTGTGCGAAATGTTTTCTCACAGCAACACTGCTTCGGGGTCATGAGAGAATCCACACAGGAGAGAAGCCCTATAAATGTGGGGAGTGTGCGAAATGTTTTCTCACAGCAACACGGCTTCGGGTTCATGAGAGAATCCATACAGGAGAGAAGCCCTATAAATGTGGGGAGTGTGGGAAAGGTTTTCTCAGAACAACAATGCTTCGGATTCATGGGAGAACCCACACAGGGGAGAAACCGTACAAATGTGTGGAGTGCGGGAAATGCTTTTCCCAAAAACAACACCTTGGACGTCATCAAAAGATCCATAAAAGAATGAAGCCATAAAGACTCATAAAGTGTAAACTCAGATCTAACAGGCCCTGATGGTGCAACAGTTTTTTATAGTTGTTCAACCCTTAGAAGTCATGTAAGAGTTCCTAAAAGGGGGGGGGGAGATTGGAAACCCTTAGATCAGTGGTTCTCAACCTGTGGGTCGGGACCCCATTTGGGGTCGAACGACCATTTCATGGGGGTCGCCAAACCACGCTGTCCACCATTTTTTCCCTTTTTTCCTAGCTGTCCTACTCCCTCTTATTGGTGGCCACACCTACTTGGGGGTCACCACAACATGGGGAATTGTATTATGGGGTCACGGCATTAGAAAGGTTGAGAACCACTGCCTTAGATCCTGAGAGCATTTTTTTGTCAATCATCCCTTAAAAACCATACTCTAATCCATATAGGAAAGATGCAGCATAAATGTTTGGAGTGTGCTGTATGTTTAGCCTGAAAGAATATTATTTTTCAGCATCAGTGAATTCTTACTGAAGACAAACTTTATCAGGGCTTAGGATGTGGCAAAGGTTTTTATTTGATAATCACATCTTCAGATGCACATGAAAAATCCACACAGGAGAAAAACCGTGACAAGCGTGAGAAAACTTTTCCTTGCCAATTGCAACATCTTGCCTCTTGGAGTTTGTCCGTTTGAAATTGTCTCCTTGGAAATTTTCTTGCCAACTTAACTTTTTGTAATTTTTTAATAAATTTTCATTTTCAGAAGTGAACATGAAAGTCTCATGTGAGTGTGAAAATCTAAAATCTAATGTGAAATTCTCTGGAATCACATAAGAACTCCTGCTTTGGGCAGGGAGGGTTGGACTAGAAGACTACAACTCTTGCTATTCTGTGATTGGTCCCTTGTAGCTCTGTGATTCTAGGAATTTATATTCTCATATATACAGGTAGTCCTCGACCTACAACTACAATTGAGCCCAAAATTTGTTGTTAAGTGAGACATTTCATAAGTGAGTTTTGCCCCATTTTACGACCTTTTTTCCCACAGTTGCTGAATGAGTCACTGCAGTTGATAAGTTAGTCACGCGAGTGTTAAGTGAACCTGGCTTCCCCCATTGACTTTGCTTGTCAGAAAGAAGGCTGCAAAAGGGGATCACGTGACCCTGGGACACAGCAACGGTCATAAGTATGAGCCGGTTGCCAAGCATCTGAGTTTTGATCACATGACCATGGGGAGGCTGCCAAGCTCGTAACTGAAAAACGGTCATAAATCAACTCTTTTTCATTGCCGTTGTAACTTTGAATGGTGGCTAAATGAACTAGTGTAAGTCAAGGACTCCCTGAAGAAGCATAGAATATGTATCCTGGAACGCAGCACATTGAAGCCCGGAAGTAATAGTTTTAAAAGACCTTTTGGAAGAAACTATAATATTAATGTAAAAATTAACATATTTTAGGGCATTAGCTGGTTTTAAAATCAATGGCAAATAGACAGAGAAGTTGACCAAAATATGAAAATGGAAGACCAAAAAGAATTATTGGGAAAAAGCGATTAAAAAGAAATGAGAGAAAAGTAAAAATAATTATGATAAGGCATGGAATTAAATAAAGAACAATGTGTTAAGATGGGGAAAAATAACAATTGTTGGGTACATTTTCCATAATTAAAAATGACTATATTACCTAGACTGGTGTTTCTGTTTTAAACAATACTTATCTAGACAATGGGTGCACCACTAAAGAAATGGCAGGAAGATATAGCTAAGCTTATATGGCAGGAGAAAAACCAAAAAGTTTAATTGGAAACTCTTCAACAGAAAAGAGAAAGATAATAAAAAGAAGAAGAGGAGGAGGAGGAGGAGGAGGATTACAATTGTTGTTGGGTACAATCTCTATAATTAAAAATTACTACATTACCTAGAGATTGATGTTTCTGTTTTAAACAATGCCTATCTGATCAACAGGTACACCACTAAAGAAATGGCAGGAAGATATAGCTAAGCTTATATGGCAGGAGAAAAACCAAAAAGTTTAATTGGAAACTCTTCAACACAAAAGAGAAAGATAAGAAGAAGAAGAGGAGGAGGTTGGAAGGGACCTCGAAGGTCATCTAGTCCAACCCCCTGCTCAGGCAGGAAACCCTATACTATTTCAGACAAATGGCTGTCCAGTTTCTTAAACACTTCCAGTGTTGGAGCATTCACAGCTTGACTCCCTCTTCTTTGTGGCAACCCGTGAGATATTGGAACACTGCTATCATGTCCCCACTTGCCCTTCTCTTCATTAAACTAGACATACCCAATTCCAGCAACCGTTCTTTATGTTTTGGCTTCCTGTCCCCTAATCATCTTCTCTGTGTCTTAACATCTTTTTTACATCGTGGTGACCAAAACTGGATGCAGTATTCCAAATGTGTATGTATGTAATGTATACATAAATACCATCTGTATCCAGAAAAACGCTCAGGGCAGTGGCAATTCGCACCTCTTTTTGTGGAAGGTTCCAGAAATGGGAGGTCACCACCAAGAAGGCCCTGTCTGTTGGAAACAGACATGAAAAAGGAGCTGCTTTCCAGCTTTAGCAGCAGTTCTCAGAAAGCCAACACATCTGTTTCTGTCAGAGGTTTTCAACTTTGGTAACTTTCAGATGTGTGGACTTCAATTCCCAGCATGCTCCCTGGGGAATTCTGGGGATTGTAGTCCACACATCTTAAAAGTTATCAAGATTAAAAAAACAAACACTGGTTTCTATGAAGAGACCCCCCCTTGCCCCACCTCCCCCCCAATTCTTTCCAACTGGTTATGTCCCAGAAGGGCCTTTCCCAATCTGGTGATCTGCAGGTGTGGGGGTCAAAGTCCCAAACATCTGGAGGACAGCAGCTGGGGCAAAGTGGCCAGAGGGGACTGAGCTGCTTAACTCCTGCTTTGCCTTCCGGTTCTTCTTTAAACCCGGGTGCTGCTCTAAATGCTCCTAATTGTTTTCGTATCTCAGGAAGATAAATATTTCGGACTGCAGAGTAAATACAATTACATTCTACACACAGCAGCTTAGCGTTGTGATTCTTGGGTTGTGAGTCCAGGGATTGTCTTGCCACAAGGAGGCTTGCTAGCATTCACTCAATGGAATCCTCCAGACGTGAGTTAGGTTGGGTTTCTACTCCCATAACGTCTTGCCGGCTGGACTTGATGGGGGTTGTGATCCAGCAGCTCTGCAGCCCCCAGACAGGTAAGCTGCTCTGAAGGCATCTAAAGGTTACATTTGATAATGGGTGGGGCTTCGCAAGAGTTCAGATATGCTTAATATATATATTTAAAAATTCAAATGTACTTCAGGGGCCAAAATCCGAATTAAGTGTCATGGGGGGGGACTAGGGAAGAAGAAGGGGTCTCCTCAGGGCCCTACAAACGATTTATAAGCCTCTGTGTAAAAATTGAGTGCCCCCAAATTACAGGAAGCCCAGCCATGGTTCGAGTGTTTTTATTCTAGGGAGGCAAGTAGGAACCTCTGTCCGATTCTGGGCAGAAGGCAAGCGAAGGGCCGGGGGGGGGAGGGCAGGCCCGCCTGGGCACTGCAGGGCACTCTTCGCATGGGCAGAGGAACCCCGGACCCGGATGTCCAACGGAGGGACGGAGTGCCGACTGGGAAGCAGGGAAGGGCGGGAGAAGTGGAGGCCAAGGGGCAGGACTGAAAGGCTGAGGCGGAGGCCGAGAGGAGAGCAGAAGCAGCGCCCGCGCCTCAACCTAGTCACGACCCGATCCATCATCACCGCCGCCTCTTTGGACTCGGCAGGACCTCCGTCTCCCTACTACGCAGCCCATCCTCCACAGCCATCTCAGCCTTGCCAGGTGCCGGAAGGGGAATCCCTCGTCCGAGTCCCCCCCAAACCTCGGGGGGAAGCAGGGAGGGAGGATCCCCGGCCGCCTCTTCCCAATCCAGGAAGGGAGGAAAAGGCTCCCGGCCTCCGCCTCGCTAGGAAAGAGGTGGCTCGCCCTCCGAGGGGGAAGCGACGCTTTCCGGGCCCCGAAAGTCCAACTGCTGGACCGGAGGAGGAGGGGCGAGAACGCCCACTCTTCCATGGGACAGGAGATGGAACCGGAAAGGGCGAGGAGACGCCTCCGAGGCGTCTCTCTAGGACATTCCTCTCGTTCTCCCTAATCCCCACCCCCCCATCTGACGTCCCAGAGCTCCGTTGCGGAGGATTTTCCTTCTCCGCCTTTTTCCCCCCTGGCGGCATTTTGGGCGGCGGTGCAACTTCTGGGCGTCCGGCAAGGCTGCTCCTCGGCCCCGCTCCGGGCAGGTGGGGCTGCTCCTGCTCTCCCTCGGCCGGCCAGGAGGAAGGTAGCCCCGAGTCCCCCCCGGGTCCCCGGAGGGTGGCTGAGCCTGCCAGGATCCCGGGTGGATGCAGGGCTGGGCGGGGAAAAGGGGGGGCTCGCCCCACGGAGGGAAGGGGGGGCTTTTCTTGTTAAGGATTTGGGGGGGGAGAATATGGGGCAATGGAAAGAAAGACCCGCCTTCTCCCTTCAATGGGGGGGAGTTTGGTTTAAGGGGGGGGGAGTTTAAATTGCTCGAATTGAGCTCATGTTCTCCCAACCCAAAAAAGATCCACTTTCTTTCTGCTTAATCTAAATAGAGAGGAATGAATATTCTTTGCTTTTATTCTAATTCTTTTTCTTTTGTTTCTACCATGCTGGGCAGAAATTGAAAAAAATCATTATTTTCCTTGTTTTGCCGTGAAGAGGCTGTGATGTTGCAGCCCCTTGGTGGTTTTATCAATCAGAATAGAGCTGGAAGGGACCTTGGAGGTCTTCTAGTCCAACCCCTTCCTCAAGCAGGAGACCCTATACCATTCCAGACAGGTGGCTGTCCAGTCTCTTCTTAAAAGCCTCCAGTGATGGAGAACCCACAATCTCTGAAGGCAAAGCTGTTCCCCTGGTTAATTGTCTTCACTGTTAGGAAGTTTCTGCTTAGTTCCAGGTTGCTTTTCTCTTTAATTAGTTTTCATCCATTGTTTCTTTTCCTGCCTTCAAGTGCTTTGAAAAATAGGTGGATCCCCTCTTCCTTGTGGCAGTCCCCCCAATAGTGGAATCCTGTTATCATGTCACCCCTGGTCCATCTTTATTCAAGACTGGCCATAAACAATTCCTGCAACTTTCCTTCACATGTTTTTTTCATTTTAGTTCCTCTCCTTTGCCCATTTTGCAGGGTCTCAATATCTGTTTTGTAATGTGGTGACCAAACCTGGATGCAGTATTCCAGCTGTGGTC